CAGGGTAAAAACTTGAAAGATTTCCATTATAAAAGAATAGTTCTTTGAGGGTTACCAAGAGGCGGGAGGGAGGAGACAGCAACTCACAGGTCAGGGAATGGACACACATTGACTCAGGGGACAGGGAGGGCAGTAAACAGGAGGGGGGCAATACACAAAGAGGGGAGGAGGGTAAAGGTGTGGGGAAGATGAGGAGAAACTCTGGGGGATATGCATGGGCTGAATAGAACGGAGGTGAACCGTGAAGTTTGCACAGACCTGGAATGGAACAACAAGGCTCTGTGATACAGGGATGGAGACACAGGCTGATTGATAAAGGAGAAGACACAGTGTGAAGCTATTTGACTGTAAGATCTTTACTGCAAAAACTTTAAGAAAAGATGTTCGTACTAAAGGGGAGGGGGGGAGCTTCATAAATAGAAATTTGGTATGGGAAATAAATACACTTTGTACGTAAAATTGACATTCAGATCTTTTGGATCAAGTCCAATAGCCTTATTTCATGGTGTGCGTTTGCCAGTCCCTGGCCACCTAGTCATCCAGCTGCTCCTCATTCATTTACTATAGCCTTCAAATTTTTGCTTTATCTTTTAGAATTGGTTGTGAATAACAGAATCCCCACCCCCTCAAAAAAAAAAAAAGGACAGCTAGGGTGCTCCTTAGAAGTGAGACTTTAGAGACTTCTTTGCTCTCACATACTTGGGCTATGTTGTCAGGAGGGACCAGTCCCTGGAAAAGGACATGACTGGTAAAGTGGAGGGTCAATGAAAAAGAGGAAGACCCGCAACGAGGTGACTTGGCCCAGGGACTCACACATTGCAACAATTGGGAGGATGGCGCAGGACTGGGCAGTGTTTTGTTCTGCCGTGCATGGGATGGGCTGTGAGTCTGAACCCACTCAACAGCACCTAGAAACAGCAATGACTTTGCAGGGGGCGTCAGGGTCGGGTAAGAAAGGAGACTGAAGTGCTTTGCACGCATGTCAGTGGTGCCAAGCAGTGGGTGCTGAGGGGTGGAAAGGACTGGGGGATGCATACTCACTGGGAGACACAAGACACGCCATCCCTTGCTAATGCGACTCCTTCCCTCTCCAGGAGCTTGGAGGGGCACCTGATCCTTCTTCCCGTGAGTCAGCGGGTCACAGGGACCAGGACACTGGCCCCATGGTGCGCAACGTGGATAATCTGGACTTCCATCTGCCCTCCCATGCCCAGGACATGCTGGATGGCCTGCAAAGGCTGCGTGCGCTGCCCAAGCTGGTTGATGTCACGCTGCTGGTGGGCGGTCAGGAGCTGCCCTGCCACCGTGGCCTCCTGGCGCTGAGCAGCCCCTACTTCCACGCTATGTTTGCGGGCGATTTCGCCGAGAGTTTCTCAGCACGCGTGGAACTACGGGATGTGGAGCCGGCCGTGGTGGGGCAGCTGGTGGACTTTGTGTACACTGGCCGGCTGACCATCACCCAGGGCAACGTGGAGGCACTGACACGCACGGCCGCCCACCTCCACTTCCCCGCAGTGCAGAAGGTCTGCGGCCGCTACCTGCAACAGCAGCTCGACGCCACCAATTGCCTGGGAATCTGTGAGTTTGGGGAGCAGCAAGGCCTGATGGGCGTGGCGGCCAAGGCCTGGGCCTTCCTGCGGGAGAACTTTGAGGCCGTGGCGAGAGAGGACGAGTTCTTGCAGCTGCCCCGTGAGCGGCTGACCACCTGCCTGGCCAGCGACCTGCTGCAGGTCCAGCCGGAACAGAGCCGGCTGGAGGCGCTGCTCCGCTGGGTACGCCATGACCCACCAACCAGGGCCCCTCACCTACCTGAGCTGCTCGGCCTGGTGCACTTGGACTCCCTGCCTCCGCCCTGTGTGCAGCAGCTACTGACCTCAGAGCCCCTGATCCAGGCCTCAGAGGCGTGCCAGGAAGCCCTGTCCCGGGGCCATGGTGAGGTGAGATCAGGGCGGGCAGCTCTGGCTGCGGGAAGCAGAGACAGGAGATTCTGAGCATTTAGTCCTGGTGGGCTAATGCGCTGGACCTCAAGGTCAGTTGGCAGTTCAAATCTACCAGGCGCTCCTGGGAAACCCTATGTTGCTGTTGTTAAGTGCCGTTGAGTTGGGTCCGACCCATAGCAACCCTGCATAGGGTTTTCCACCAACCTTGTGGTTCAAACTGACTTTGCAGTCCAGCACATTAACCCACACCAGAACTCCCGGAAACCCTATATAGGGTCGCTACGAGTTGGAACCAACTCCATGGTACTTAACAACAACAACATCTTAGCTGTCTAGTGCTGCTGTGACTGAAATACAAGGGGATGGTCCTAACAAATAGACCCTGAGCCTCTCACCCTCTGTGGGGGCTAGAAGTCCAATTCAGGCTGACAGTTCTAGAGCTTAGCTTTCAGAATCACAGCATCTCACAAGCCACCAGCGTATGACAAACCGACAGACGAGTGGTGGTTAGTCTTTGTCATCCCAAGACCTTGTCTGTGTCCTAGGACTTTGTTAGCCAAAGACAGCAAAACCGTTGGCTTTGAAGAGCAGAAATGAGTTCTGAGCCGTGTGGAGGCCACAGGTGCGAATGTGCTGGGAGGGCCTTGCTCTCACTGAGCGAGCTCTAGAGAAGGAGCTGTGCCCCTCTCTCCAGGGTCCCGGGTTTGTAGGCAGAGCCTTGCATGGTGGGAGTCTCACCCTGGGAGGTCTCCCTGTCTGTAATTGTTCTCTGCTTTGATAAGACAATTCTCAGAAGAGGGGAGGGCGTGGATCCACGCTATTCCAACAGGAGCTCTCAGTGGTTGTTGTTAGGTGCCATCCAGCTGGTCCCAGTGCACCGCAATGACCCTGTGTACAACAGAGGGAAACACTGCCCGGCCCTGGGCTACCCTCGCATTCCTTGTTATGTTTACGGCCTCGGCGCAGTCCCTGGACCAGTCCATCTGGTTACGATCTACCTCCGAAAGGCACGTATGTGCTCCATGGCACACACACACGTGTACACATTCATGTGTGTGCATTAACACACACATATGTAGTGGGATACGCACACATGTATGCATGCACACATACTTACACACTCCTTTACATGCATGTCTGTGCATGCATACACTCACTCAGTACTCCCATGTACATACTCTTGAATACACACAGACCTATAAACACATGTGCACACATGCACACAGATACATGCACAAGTGTACGCCTGCTTGCATGTATACACTCACACATATACATGTGTGCTCAGGTGTGCACATGCATGTGGGCGCACGTTCACATATACACATGTGTTGCTGATACATGCACATCTGTAGACACATGTGTACACATTTACACACTTCTACACATCCCACTGATGCCAGATGTTTGGAGTCCTGGTGTGGCACTGTGGGTTAATGCACCAGACTGCAAAGCCATTTGAACTGCAAGATCGGCAGTTCAAGCTCATCAGTTGCTCCTAGGAAACCCTATACAGGGTCACTATGGGTCGGACCTGACTCGATGGCACTTAACAACAACAACACATGCATACCCTTGTGTACATACACACACCAAGTACTCTTACATATGTACACACAGACCTATACACACCTGTGCACACAGGCACACAGAAATGTGCATATGTATACATTCACACACATATATACATGTGCGTGCTGAGACATGCACATGTATACACACATGCACACATACTTACACACTCCAACAAGTGCATACCCGTGTGTACATGCGCAACCCAGTACACACACATATGTATACCTAAATGCACAGAGATTTATACACTCATGTGCACACACATGCACACAGATATGTACACATGGAAGCATGTATACATTGGCACATATGCATTGTGCTGGGTCTGCACATGTATACACATGCATGTGGGTGTATTCACAATAAACATGTGTGTTGAGATGTGCACATATGTATGCATGTGTGTATATACATACATGCTTATACATGTTGTGTACTGGGACATTCACACATACTTACACATCCTACACATGCATGCCTGTGTGTACATACACACACCTAGTACAAACACATCCATACACCTGAATATACACCAGCCTGTACACAGATGCACACTGAGACCCTCACATGTGTACATATGCATGCACATGAGTATAGGCATGTGCATACATGTGACTGAGCATGCATTCATACATACCTGTATACGTGTTGGTGTGCATGCCCAAACACATGTACACTCACATATTCATATATACACATATGCACACACATGCAGAGGCCCACTCCACTCATATACGCATGACTAAGGACCCTCAGCTGCCCCCTAAACATCCAGGCCTCACTATGCCTAGACGATGTCTTCAGCAGGTGGCCTGCCCAGTGTCCAGGAGCCCCTCTGACCCCTGACACCCCCCCAGGTGCTGCTGGCCCCCCCACAGAAGCTGGAAGAGGTCCTGGTGGTGATGGGTGGGCGGGCGCTGGAGGAGGATGAGGAAGCTGGGGAGGAGCTCGAAGTCCACTCCGGTAACTTCGCCTTCTATAACACCAAGGCCAGTGAGTAGTTCCGTGGTGTCCAACCCACATCAGTCCTGACGGGAGCTGTCCGCCCGTGGCCTGCGCATCAGGCGCCCCATGAGGGAGGGGACACTGACGGGAGGGTGCCCCTTCTCCCACCCAAGGTTCCTGTAGGAGGTTGGCCTCCACTGTCCAGAGTGGGGCCACTGGTGGGGTTGTTAGCCTGGCAGCTTCTTCCCCCTGGTAACCCAGTCCTATGGCCTCCAGGGTATCAGAGGGCTAAGAGAGTGCAGGCAATCCTGGAGGGGGTGAGCACTGGGCTTTAGGGTCACCCTAAACGGTCCTTCAGCAGGTCCCATTACCTGCCCAGGCCTCAGCATCTTTGTGAAATGGGGTTAGTCCCTCTCACAGGACCAAGGTCAGGCAGCGGGCTCTTTGGGGACTGGACTTGTTGGCCCAGAGATACTCTTGGAAGGCACCGATGAGGCTGCCCAGGGTCCTGGGTTCCGGGCTGGGCTCCAGCCCGTCCTCCCCACAATGGCGTCAGTGTCTGGCAGCAGTCCCAGGCCCGGAGCTGACGAGAGGGGATTTGGGGCTGACGTCAGGAGATGAGGATCCTGGCCCCACCTGGGAGCAGCTGCCCCTCAGAGCCATGGGGACAGGCGTCTGGCAGACAGAGGAGGGTGGCTGTTGGACAGTCCCACCCCAGAGGGATACAGACATAAGTCAAGGGGCCATGCCGTCCCGCCCTCGTGCCAGCTCCACATAGCCAGGCTCCCAGCACAGCCCCCAAACCGCTGTAAACAGCAAACAGCCAAGTCCCCCCAGGGGGAGCGGACCCCAGACCTCACCAGCTTCCTGGGCTTTGACATAGCGTAGTGGTTACAAATCAGGCAACGAATCACAAGGTCAGCAGTTCGAAACTACCAGCTGTTCCGCGGGAAAAAGATGAGGCTTTCTGCTCCCGTAAAGATTTACAGCCTCGGGAACCCTGTACAGGGTCTCTGTGAGTTGGCTCCGACTCCACGGCACATAACCACCACCACCACCACCCTCTTGATTTGGCTTCCCCAGCATTTCCCGTCTCTTGCCTCAGTTTCCTCCATGAAGGCAGATCAGACTTGGGGCACCACTCTGTCCCTCACTACCATGACAGGAAGAATGGGAGGAGGGACGGGGCACTAGTGATGCCACAGATCAGACCACGAAGCCACTTCCCTATCTGAGGGAGGCGGGTCCCTGCAGGGTCAGCTTTGGGACTGAGTGAGACCTTGACCTAGGAGCCTGGGCTGTTGCTCTGCACATCTGGGGGTCATTTGTGTCCAGTGGGGCAACATGGAGAGGCAAGGGGCTGCCGTGAACACCTCTGGCCTCACCAGGTGTCCCTGGACTCTGCACCGCCCACTACTGTGGCCTGCTGAGTCCTGCCCAGCAAGCAGGGACGTTGCACAATAGGAAGAGGTCTGTGGCAGGGTGAGCGTCCAGTCCTCACCACCCTCTCTCCTCCCGCAAGAGCGATGGATGGCGCTCCCTGACTTCCCCGACTACCACAAGTGGGGCTTCTCGCTGGCTGCGCTGAACAATGACATCTACGTCACAGGTGAGCAACTGCCGACCTGCAGCAGAACCATCGCCCGCTCATGTGCAAAGCCAGGAGGATAGAGCCCTTCTAGACCTTTGCGTGCATTGCAAATCAAAGGCTGGGCCTAACTCACTTGTGGACCCACACTCAGGGGCTCCTAGAAGACCCCGTGATAGGGGGTGGGGAAAATCACTCTGCCTGAGCTGCTGGTGAGAGCTGATTGGGGGCAGCTTCTGCTGATGGGGTGCTAGAAACCACTGACCCTGACTGAGTTTGTGTGGGTGGGAGAGCTGGCCATGGTCATGAAGCTGGGCTGCACCCTCAGAACAGGGGTTCTGTTCTGGACGCCTCTGGACTGCCTGTGGTCTCACCCCGGTTCAGCATCTGGCAGTCCAGAGAACAGCAGAAATCTAAAGGCCCCCTGCCTGAGAGAAATGGTAACCAAAGGGAATCCACCCAGCAGCACAGAGGCATAAAGACCTGGCAATCTGCTTCTGTAAAGATCACAGCCAATAAGATCGCACGGAGCAGTTCTACTGTCACATGGGACTGTTGCTAAGTGCCGTTGAGTCGGTTCCAACTCATAGCGACTCCGTACAGGGTTTCTGAGAAGCAGCTTGAACTGTGAACCTTGTGGTTCAAACCGACCTTTCAGTCCCATGCTTATCCTACAAAGCCATGCCAGGCTGTCCACATGGATCTGCTAAGTTACAAATCAACTATGAAATCATGGCCTAGCCGGGGACCCCAGGCCTGTAAGGGAGCCCAGTGCAGGGGCATGTCTAAGGGGTGGGGGGATGGCATGTGTCCTGGGCCCCACTGGAAGGGGGTGTCATTGGGCATGTCCATCCAGCAAGTTAACACGAACACTGTCCTATTCCAGAGGTTCCGTGGGGCCAGGAAAGGAATGTTGGTGGTGCTGGGGGTTAGGCACTGAGCTGCTAACTGCAAACTCGACGGTTCAAACCCACCAGCTGCTCTGCAGGAGAAAGATGAGGCTGTCTGCCCTGTAAAGATTTACATACAGTCCGGGAAACCCTATGAGTTGGAATCAACTCAACGGAAGTGGGCTTAGATTTTTTGGTCAAAGACGCTGGTTCGAACCCACCAGCCACTCTGCAGGAGAAAGATGTGCCCGTTTGTTTTGTAACGATGACAGCTTTGGAACCCCTCTGTCATGCGGGGTCGCTGTGAGGCAGAACCGACTTGGCAGCAGTGAGTACAGGTCCATGCAGTGGGGTGACGTTGCCCTGCCGAATGTAGAAAGAGAAGAAAGTAAAAACAATGACTCAGGGCCCATCCCAGACCAACTTTCATCCGTGAAAGCAACCAAGGGCAGTTGTCGCTGTCATGTGTGCCGACATGTGTGTAAGGAATAACCCAGCTTGACGTGCATTTCTGAGCTGATGGGGTGGTTGTTGTATGTTTCAAGTCAGTTCTGACTCACAGTGACCTTGTATGGGGTTCCCAAGGAGCAGCTGGTGAGTTTCAACCACCAAACTTGTGATTAGCAGTTCAGTGCTTATCCTACAGTGTCACACCAGAACTCCTGATATGACGAGAAGTTCTCTAAAAGGCGGGTGTCAGAGGTCTGGACAGGGGTGCAATGTCAGTGCTGGGCACACATGGACAGAACCTATTCCACAGGTGGTTCCAGGGGCTCACAGACGGACACCTGGTCCACCACGCAGGCCTGGTGTTTCCTGCTGAAGGAGGCGGCCTGGAGGCCCGTGGCACCGATGCTGAAAGCCCGCACCAACCATGCCAGCGCCGCGCTCAACGGGGAGATCTACGCCATTGGGGGTGAGCCCCCTGGGACTGTCCTGCCGGTCCTGTGGCTATCGTTCTGCCCAGTCCAGAGGCCTCATCTCCTATAGCAATGGCCCTTTCCCATCCTGCCCATGAGAGGGCAAAGCAGCCCACAGAGCAACCCGGGGTGACACCCAACAGAGGGCACATAGATCCCCAAAGGTGCCGGAGGGATCTGGCCTTAACTGCCCAGAGTCTCAGGCACATTGAACCCAGGTCCAGGGGACCATCATGGGCCCTTTGATATCACATTATCTCCACCCACCCTGAGGACAAGGGTCCTGCCTTACCCCAACCCACCTGGCAGCCCAGGAATAAGACTGAGCAGTTGGATATTGTGACCATATGATTGGGTGACCACTGGCCCTTGTTTGAAGTGACTACTATGTCCTGGGCCTCTCCAGAGCTAAGAGCACCTCGAGTCCCCAAGCTCTTCCACAGGCTAAGGTCCTGGCCCAGGGAGCAGCAGACGGTCCCCGCATCGGCACCTCCAGACTCTATGCGGCAGCAGCAGTGTGGTGGGACCCAGGGCTGAGGCAGAAACTGGGCACCAAGACTTCGGGATAAGGACCCCAAGTTTCCCAAAGCCCCCTCCTCCATGCCCAGCCCAACACAGGCTAACACCTGCCCTCTGCCCCACAGGTACTACCCTGGACATGGTGGAGGTGGAGAGCTATGACCCCTTCACCAACAGCTGGACACCCGTCAGTCCAGCCCTCAAATACGTCAGCAACTTCTCAGCCGCCAGCTGCCAAGGTCGCCTCTACTTGGTGGGCTCCAGTGCCTGCAAGTACAATGCGCTAGCTCTGCAGTGCTACAACCCGGTCACAGGTGCCAGCAGGGGGAGGGGATGAGGCCACAGGTCCCTCCCTGCAGTGCTACAACCCCGTCACAGGTGCCAGGAGACAGAGGGCCCCTCTGCAGTGTCAGTGGAGGACAGTGGGACAGCCCCAACATGGCTGGGAAGATGGGGCTAGGGGTTGCCTGACAGGAGTACATGTGGCCACAGTCCCATGGGAGGTGGAGGCTGGAGCTAAGGAGCCTGGGGTGGGAAGGCAGCTCCTCACTTGTCCAGGCATCCATCCTAGAGGTTCATGGGGCTGGGGGTGCTGGGGGCCAAATTCCCTGTCCTGCTCGGGCCTCCACACTGCAGGGTGTCTGGGAGAGAGTCCGGCCTTGTCCACTCTCTGTAACTGCTGTGTGGCTGTGCTCTGGACTCTGGCTTGGGTGGAGTCCCAGCGTGGCCCCTACCTGATGAGGTGGTCTTCCTGGCCAGGGACTCACTTTGTTCTGTCCCCAAGACCCACCTGGAAATGTGGGCAGCAGGACCTACGAGCTGACATGTGCCAAATGCCCATGCGTCCTTGGGGTCCAAGTAGGGCCCACCTGGTTACCTGAACCCAGGGGAGGAGATGAGGCAGAGGCCCCGGGCCCCGAGGTGACTCCAGTCAGGTGGGGTCAGCAGGAGTCTCGAGAGCCAACCTCCAGGACCCCCGTGTCCCCGCAGATGTGTGGAGCATGATCGCCTCACCCTTTCTGCCCAAGTACCTCTCCTCACCTCGCTGTGCTGCGCTGCACGGGGCCCTCTACCTTATCGGGGACAACACCAAGAAGGTCTACGTGTATGACCCCAGGGCCAACCTGTGGAGGAAGGTAGGCCCCCTGCTCCACGTGGTGATTCCCACCCACCTAGAGCTTGGACACCTGGGGCACAGGCCTGGAGCAAGGAGGGTCTGGGGGTTTGCCCGTGGTAGGGGGCAGTGAAGGCTGAGGTGGAGCAACAGCAATACCGGTCAGGGGTGAAGGTGTGGCCCAGAGCTGGGGTCACCCTCTGAGCTCCCATCCTGAGTACTCCATCTTCCCCAAGAAGCAGCCCACTCTCCTCCTGGGAACAGAGCCAGCTGCCCCTGCTGGGGGATATGGGCGGCACAGCAGTGGACACACAGGGCCGTGATGGTCTCAAGAGACCCACTCGCTTTGCTCTCAGAGTAGGACCACGCCAGGAGACCCCACGATGGGCCACAGCACCAGGGCTGGCTCACCAGGGAACAGTGGGGTCTCTGCCTCCTGCTGCCCACAGCTGTCCCCTGGCATTAGCATTCAGATGACCGGGGCCTTATTACTGCAGGAACAGGTGCAGGTCGGCCCCTCCAGCTGGTGATTCCTCCTTCCTGAACCACAGCAGTCATCTCCCGGCCTGCTCTAGGCCGGGGGGTGGGGGGGTGGGGTGGGGGCGCTAGGCCTGTGGTGGTCCACCCAGACTTCCAGAAGGCTGACCCTCCCTCCTACCTTACCCGCAACCCCTGTCAAGGGCACTGCCTAGGACACAGGCAAACTAGGGTTCAGGGCTGAATGAGGGTCTTTCTGAGTCAGAGACAGAGCCACTTGTGGTCCCCTCCCAGAGCAGCTGTGAGGACGAGGACCCCAGGAAGCAGCTCTACTCCCTCCATGCCCACCCGTGACTCCCAACTTCAGAGATGGGCCAACGTGGGCCTGGGAGGTCACTGGTCCCCTTTTTGGAAAGTCTGAAAGGGTCTTGCTGAAGTGGGGATGTGGAGGAAATGTAGCAGGGGCTGGGTGACTCCCAGACTGGCCGATGTAGACAGGATGACCACCAATCCTTAGGCCCCAACCACCCCAACTCCCCACCTCCACCCCCACTGTCCTCTGGCCCTGACCCTCCATCCACTCCACCCTCTAGCCCTGCCCTCTGACTCTGGCCTGTTCATTACCTTGACCTCTCCATCCCTGCCCTCTGACACTGACCAAGCCTTCTAGTAATGACCCCGCCTACTGACCCTGACTGCAACCTCTACCTTGACCCCACCCAATCCGCAGGACCTAACCTCTGGCTCAGACCCTGTCCACTACTCTGACCCTGCCTACTGTCTCTGACCCCATCCTATCTGCCGGTCCTGGCCCTGTCCACTGTTCTGGCTGGGCGCCTAGCCACTGTCCCGGACCCCGCCCTCCAACCCTGACTCCACCCCATCTTCTAGTCCTGGCCCCGCCCCATATTAGCCTTGACTCCGCCCACTGCTCTGACCCCTGCCTGCTAGCCCTGACCCCACCCCATCTGCTGGCCCTAACTCCATCCACTGGTCTTGATCCTACCTCATCCGCCGGTCCTGGTCCCGCCCACTGTCCTGGCCCCTCCCCATCGGCTGGCCCTGACACCGCCCGCTGTCCTGACCCCGTCCCGCCCGCCCCCAGGTGCAGCCGTTACACAGCCTACATGAGAACGGGGCTCTGGTGCCGCTGGGGGACGCGCTCTATGTGACGGGAGGCCGATGGCAGGGTATGGACGGTGATTACCACGTGGAGATGGAGGCCTACGACCACGTGCAGGACGCGTGGACCCGCCGTGGCGCCCTGCCCCGCCTCTGGCTCTACCACGGTGCCTCAGCCGTCTTCCTGGACGTGAGGCGGTGGACCCAGCCCTTCGGTGTCGCCCCGCAGAACTAGCGGAGGAACTGCGGCCACGGGGTCCCCAGGTCGCTGCTCCCACCAGAGACCAGGTGGACATATGGCCCCCCAAGTCCTGAGTGTTACTTTTCTCTTGGCTGTGTCCCCTGAGCCATCGATGGGACTGCCCCGCCAGACCACAGGACAGCTGCATGTGTGGACTCTGGGCAGCAGAGAAGGGGCCAGTTCTCTGAGAGCTAGCTGTCTCTGGCCCTAAGTCACCAGGACTTAGGAGGAGATGCACAATGGGGATGGTTGAAGAGAGACCCAGAAGCCCAGGCCATGGGGGTGGGGGACAGGAGGGCAGGAAGGGTCAGGCATTGTCCTATCCTGCTTATTAGGGTGCTGCTGGGGCCTTGCAGCTTCCCCTCAGCCTCTGTATGGTGTCACCCCCAGAAGGGCAGCAGCCACAATGACAATAGAAAAGAGTGGGGGGAGGGGCTGGAGGCAGAGGTCTCAGCTGGGACTATACTGGGGACAGGGGCACCCAGGGCCGGTGACAGGGAGGGTGCTTCTTGGAGCAGTTGGCTTCTAAGCGAATACTTCATCCAGAAGGCAACTCCCAGCATCTGAGACTTATTGGAAGTCTATGGAGAATTCAGGGGAAGTGAGGGGGAAATGTGGGTACCTCCAGCTGCAAGGATGGGGGCGGGGTTCACGTGGCCCCAGCACCCAAGTTCTGACCAACGTCCAGAGCAATGCTGACTTAGCAGCCCCCTGTATCTCACCTCACAGTCCTAATAAAGGACCCCATTGGGTGCTAAGGGTAGACCCTTTTGTCTGCAGCTTTCTCAGAAGACAGAGAATACAAGTCTCGATCCCACCTGGTCCACAGCCTGTCTAGGCACCTCTCATTGTGAGGAGAGGGATGGGGACCAGGCGTCCCTGGCTCAAGACCCTCTTTCCCCCTAACCTGGCTTCCTACACATGTTCTTGTGGGAGAACTGAGCCCCCAGAGGAGACCGTCTCCAGGTTCCCTCCCCAGTTCCTGGTGACCACCCATCTACTCTCGGTGTCTATAGTTTCATTGGCTCTGGACCTTTCCTGCAAGTGTGACCAGCCTCTCATTCAGCACCACGTGTCCAAGACTCGCCATGTGGTAGCATGTGTCAGCACTTTATTCCCCTTTATGGAGGTATCACTTTAAACAAAAACAATGTATTCATCCAGTGATGGGCACTTGGGGTGTTGCTACTTTGGACTACTGTGAATTATGCGTAATGAGCAATTCATGCACAAGGATTAGAATAACTGCTTTTCATTCTTTGGGGTTTATACCTAGGAATGGAATTGCTGTTAGCGTATATGGTGGCACAGTGTGTAAGTGCTTGGCTGCTAACTGCAAGGTTAGCGGTTTGAACACACCTCAGGAGAAAGATGGAGCAGCCTGGGAAAACCCAGGGAGCAATTCTACTCCGTTGTATGACTCAGAATCAACTCTGGGCCAACAAAGGGCAAAGGTTTGGGGTGTGTGTGTGTGTGTGTGTGTGTGTGTGTGTGTGTGTTTAATGGCAATTCTATAACTGTTTTTGTAATTACAATTATAAAATGGTAAAAATGTAACAAAAGAGTTACCGATCCAACATTTTTAAAAAGATGGTCTAATAACCTAGTTTATTTGGGGGAAATGTATGTGTGCTTTGCTCTCTATCTGTATGGTAAGCATATGTGTGGTGTGACAAATTACTTGCCTTTCCAACATTCTTCATGTGTACAATTCAGTGATGTGAGCTATATCCATCAGGTGTAACCATTACCATCACCTGTCTCCAAATTTCCCATCACCCTTAGTGGAGCTTCAGTGTTCTCAAAGTAGTGAGGCCCCTTTGCCTCCCTCGCACCTGTCCCTGGTAATCACTAATAAACTTTGCTGTCTACAGACTTGTCAATGCTGCATCTTTCCTATACGTGAACCAATGTATTTCAGTTAGCACAATGTTTTCTAGGTTGATCCGTGTTATAACAGGTATGAAGGCTTCATTTTATGATTGTTTTTAATGGTTGAGTACATTCCTTTTGATGTAGGTACCAGGTGCTGTGGGTTAAGGTGCTGGACTGCAAAATCGGTTTGAAAAGCAAGGTCAGCGGTTCAAGCTCACCAGTTGCTTCTTGGAAAGCTTATACAGGGTCGCTATGGGTTGGAACTGACTCAACGGCACTTAACAACAACAAATGATAATCCTATATTTAGTTGGTGCTTTTTTTTTTTTTCCTAATTGTTTCATGTTGTTGTTGTTGTTAAGTGCCATCAACTAGCTTCCGACCCATAATGACCCTGTATAGGGTTTCCGAGGAGCAGCTGGTGAGCTTGAACTGCCGACCTTGCTATTCAAAGGGCTTTGCAGTCTGGTGCATTAACCCACAGTGCCACACCACTTATAGTGGTAAACATATACAGAATAAAGCGGAGTCCTGGTGGGTTAATGTGCCAGACAGAAAAGCCATTTGAGCTACAAGGTCGGCAGTTCACGCTCACCAGCTGCTCCTTGGAAACCCTATACAGGGTTGTTATGGGTCGGAACCGACTCGATGGCACTTAACAACAACAATCCAACATGTTTCTATGCACACTTCAGTGATGCTGTTTAACATCGTGCACATTTGTTACCGCTACCAATTTCCAGATTATTGCGCCACCATATCTCAGTGCCCCTAAATCAAGCCTCTCCCTTTCCCCCTAGATTTAACTTGTTGAGGAACCATCAAACTACTTTCCACAATGGGGCACCATTTGACACTTTGTATTGATGCACAAGTTCCTCATTACCATTTCTTAGTGTCTGTTTTCCCGTGTTATTACTATAGACACTGGGTGAAACAGTATCTCCTTGTGATTTTGACTTGCAGTTCTCTGACAGCTAACGCACCTTTTCAACCTTACTCCATACCCATTAACAGATTGTCCATTTGAACAAGGGGTCTCCAAAGAGTTGGTGGAAAATAAACCCCTTCTCTTTTAATTCCCTGTTTTCCATGAAGATTTTGAAGTGCCTTCGTATTATCTTCTTTGGAGAAATACCGATTCAAGTGATTTTGATCACAATCTTATGTAAGAATGTCATTCTCTCCAAATGACAGCAGCCTTCAAAACAGAGCCACTGGTAGTGACCCTCTTGAACTGCCCTGAGGACTCATGTTTTAAATTATTCTATGCAAAACATGGAGACCATTAGCAGAAAGTCATCTAAGAGACTCTGTGGGTAAAGCAAAGGAGAACCCGTGTGGTTACACCTGCCCAGGTGCCTGTGGCTTGTACCTAGCACCTGGCCCTGTGCGGGCAGGTGGTGGGAATGGTCTGTGAAGTCTCCCGAGCTGCAGGCTGGCCTCTGTGGTGGGAGCTGGTTCTAGAGGAGAGCTCTTGCTAGGTGGTTCTGTGACCCTGGGTCAAACCTTGGGCCAGTCTCAGGGTCTGAAGCTCAGTTTCCTCCTCTGGACAGTGGGGATAAGCACATAGTTTGAGAATTCGATGACATAGTGTGCATGGAAGGTCCAGGGCCCAGCACAGGCTGACCGCCTGTCCACCGGGAGGCCACACACAGCTGACCGCAGGCTCCCACTGTTTTCAAGGACAAAGGGGACATCCATTCCCATGACTTCATCGGCAAAGGGCCTTCCTCCGGAGGATGGGAGAAGAGTGGGAAATGGGACGCCGTGACATGTGGGCCCAGGAATGAAAGTGAGACGGGAGCCAGGCATGAAGGCATGTGGGACAGTCATCGGGTCCCCCTGCCCTGGCCACTGGCTGAGGGCTCCCACCCTGGGATGTATCCACTCACGGAACCCATGGGCAGGAAGAAAGGAGGTTTGTTACCATTCGAATCCTGTTTCTGTGGGCTCCACTGAGCAGAAGACGCTTTGAGAAAAGGCCACAGAACACACAAGGGAGGCCAGGCCCACAGCCCCCCCTGGCCTGGCCAGGCCTCCTGTGTTGTCACCTCGAGATCGTGTTACAGGAGATGTTCAGGACCAGAACCGATTCGATTTGGGCCCATGACATCACCAGGGTCACTCACTGTTTGGGGAAAATAACTGTTTTCACATGACAACCACTCCTGCCCTCCCCACAGGCCTCACGCTGGCAACGGCCCCCCACTGTGAGGTGGAAATGATGTCACCTTAGCAGCTTAAGGATCATGCTCCCCAAATCGGGCCCCCCAATCTTGAGCAAAATGTGTGCTTGTGAAGATATAACTGGAGCTAGGGCAAAATGCCTGACCCTGGCACTGAGCCCGGCCCTGTGTTGCTGAGGGCCCGGTGGCCCTGGGCAAGTGGGGTGTTTGCTTTTTGCAGACACTTGAAGGCTTCGTTCTCAGAGCTGTGTCTCCTGAGAACAGCAGGTCCCTCCCTGCCAGCGGAGTGGCAGGTTTCAGCGACAAAGAGCAACCCATACTGAGTGCCTTGTGGTCCACAGATAAAGTCCTCAAATAAACAAAAAAGAAATTTCCAGAAACGCTTCACCTTACAGCACCCATTCAGCCAGATTACGGTCACAGCAAAATTCCCCACAACCAGGTTCCTCCCAGGCGTCTCTGGGGGGATGAGAAGAGAAGGTCCCCTGAGTGATGCACATCATTCAAGATTTTAAAACTCCTCCTCGCACGGTAGGCACCAGAAGTGAATACCCTTATTCGTGACAAAGCTGTGGAGTGTTTCCTGATGGACTAAGTCCAAATATTTTACTGAGTGCCTGTTACATTATTGTTGTTGTTAAGTGTCTTTGAATTGGTTCCGACTCAAAACGACCCAATATAGGGTTTCCAAAGAGTGTCTGGTGGATTTGAACTGCTGACCCTGTTCAAACTAACCCTGTGGTCCTGCACTTAGCCTACAATGCCACATAAGGGTTTTCAGGTGTGTTCTGTTGTTGTTGTTGTTAAGTGCCGTCGACGATTCCGACCCATAGCAATCCTGTATAGGGTTTCCGAGGAGCAGCTGGTGAGCTTGAACTGCCGACTTTACAGTTCAAACAGCTTTGCAGTCTGACGCATTAACCCACAGCGCCACACCAGGACTCCAGGTGTGTTCTAGGAGATCTGCAATTTCTTTAGGAATTTATCCCCTACTCCCGCCCATTTCACGGATATATTTTGGGGGTAAGTTTTTAACCAGGTTTTAAAGACAGGGTTTCTCATCTGCAGTCCTAATGTACCACTGAAAGACATCTCCATAGAATAAGTCTATAGGACACACTGACCCCTGGGTGGGGACAAATTCTCAGGAGGACAGGATATTTTTTCCCTTTGAAGCCCCCCTTCCCTGTCCTATAGGAATAAAGGAGGAATTACAAAGAATACTTAATAGAGGCATTTTTTCTAAGGTGTAAAGTATTTCCTTCATCTCTCAGACTTCTGACATACTGTCAGGTGGGACCAGTCCCTGGAGAAGGATATCATGCTGGGTAAAGCACAAAGTAAGCAAAAAGAGGAAGACCCCTAAGGAGATGGATTGGCACAGTGGCAGCAGCAGTGGGCTCAAACAACGATTGTGAGGACAGCGCAGGGCCGGACGGTGTTTCAGTCTGTTGTGCTGGTCACTATGACTCGATGGCAGCTAACAACAACAACAAAGTATTTCCCTGTTTCACCCCCACCCACTACCTTAAGCCAGCCACATGGAGCTACACGAGGGCCAGGTGTACACACACAGGTGGTGAAGGGGGGCTTTTTGACTGGGATGAAAAGAGGACCCTCGCCTGGGCTGGAGAGAGGCAGCCCTGAGGTTTCCTTGGAGCCTACTCAAAGCCAGACACCTCCTATCACAAGACTTGCTTAAAGTCACCTGCTACCATAGAGTTGGTTCAGAGCCACCCTATAGGACTGAATAGACCTACACCTGAGGGTTTCCAAGGCTATCATCTTTACAGAAGACTGTCTTATCTAGGTCCTTCAGAATGGCTGGTGGGCGGACTCAAACTGCCAACCTCTCGGCTACCAGCCTGGTGCTTAATCCACTGCACCATTAAGATGCCTTTAGCTTGCCTTCCAAAACATAAAAACCAACTCCACAGCCATCAAGTCAATTCTAACTTACAGGGGCTCTACCTCGGGTTTCCAAGACTAGACATCTTTACGGGAGCAGACACCTCATATTTCTCCCACGGAAGGACTGCTGGCTTTGAACCAACAACCTTTTGATTTGCAGCCCAATGCCTAACCCACAACACAGCCAGGACTCCTTTTTGACATCCCTTAGAAGGAATGAAATCATTGCATATTTATATCTAATTTATTTTATTTTTGTTGTTGTTGAGAATGTACACAGAACATACACCAATTCAACAATTCTACATGTACAAATGGGTGATGCTGACGTAGCCATTCGGACCCTCCTTTCCTGAGCTGTCCCCCTACTCATGAGCATAAACTCACTGTCCCTAGGTTCCCTAGCTATCCTCTCGAGTTTGCTATTGAGGATTGAATCCCACAGAGGCAGTCTTTTAAAGGAGTACAATGCTCAAAGCAGATGTTAGTTACTAATTGAGCAAAACTATTGTTTGGGTTAAAGAAGTCCTCAGAATATTTTTTTATTTAAGGTTCAAACAAGTTGTGAAGTGCCGCCGAGCTGGTTCCTACCCATAGCAACCCTGTAGATGGTTTCCGAGGAGCGACTGGTGAATTCAAACCGCTGACCTTGCGGTTCAAACTGACCTCACCATCCAGTGCGTGCATTATCCCACAGTGCCACACCAGGACTCCAAGGTTCAAAGATTACCTCGGCAGTAATTTCAGAGGTTCATTCAGCCTCAGTAGCTCCAGAATGTCTGGATTCTATTAGAATTTTCAACTCTGTTCTGCATTACCTCCCTTTTGACCAGGATTCTTCTATAGAATCTTTGGAAAAGCATTGCTTTGTAACACTGCTGGTAGACATTTGGGGATTGTATTTCCCAAACTGTGTCCCCCATTCTTTGACAGGATTAACTGAATTATTAGGATGCCAGCAGCTACCCACTTGTAAAATACTTCCCTTTCTACAGGGAGACATGGGGTTGAGGTAACAGATAAGGCTGGACTGGCCTTGGTCCAGGGGGCTGGCTCTGTTCACGGAGGAGTATCTGGAGGTCTCCTTGTGGTCTGTGGGGTCACCTTGAGAAAGGTGGAAGAAGCTGCCCTGGCTGTGGTGGTCAGCAGTCCACATGGTACGATGGTGACCAGTCCTTCAGTTGGAGCCTGGACCACTCCCAGCAGTGTGGGTGGCTGCCAGAGTTAGGGACACACTTGGTGGGCCCCAGAGCCCGTGCAGGTGCCCGCACCCCAGGGAACTCCTGCTACCACGGGGAAGGACGATCAGAAGGGAGGAAACCCGGTCACAGGGAAAAGGGCGCCCAGGAGAACTGGACTTCTCCCAGCTCCTGCGCGCTCAACCTCGAGGCCAAGACGATGGCTTTTGCTACTGGGACCCCAAAGAGAATCCGCGAAACAGAGAAAGGGAAGGCGCGCCCCGGAACTGGGAGGGGATATCCCGACTCCCCGCGAAACCAAAGCTGGAGGGGGGGCGCCCTGGGAAGCGGAGTTGAAGGGGATTCGCGCGCGCACGGAGCGAGCCCTCGGGTGGCCGGTCAGCGTGTTCTCCCCGCGCCCCCCCCCAAACACCGTGTCCCCTTCATCACGGAGCCCGCCCTGTCCTCAGCCCCACATCACTTCTCCCTATCCCAAGTCCTCATACCCACCCCGCCCCCGCCTCCTCTTCCTCCCCCATCCCCCGCGCTCCCGCCTCCTGCAACGCGCGTCCGACCGGGAGGGGGCGTCGCGGGGCGCGGGGTGGGAACGCGTTATAAGGCGCGGCACCGGCGGGCTGGCCAGCCGTGGGGACTACCAAGGGGACGCCACCACCCGCATGGCCCTGCGCCGCCCACCCGCCGGAGCGCGGCCGCTGCTCGTGTGCGGTCTCCTGGTCGCTATCGCCGCGGGCCTCGGGTCCCCGCCGCCCGGGAACGAGCTTCCCGCCGGCCCCGGTGACAGCCGCGTGCGGCCGGTAAGACACCGCGCCCCTGGGCCTCAAGTTTCCCCGGGAAGAGGGGCCGGCGCTTGCTTTCCGGGGTGGGGAACGCGGCTTCGCGGGCTGGCCAGGGCTTCCCAAGTCGGGGTAAAAATGCCAATGTCCGCGCATTGAGTCCTGGAGTTGGCACAGATGCGGTAGTGTTTCTGCGGTGTAGCCTTCCCTATTCTTTGGGATCGAAGTGTGGGCCGGGGGATGTGACGAATTCGGCTCATGAAATTGGGAAGTGTGTAGCCATAACAGGAGCCAACTGCCAGGTTCCCGGCTGAGCACTTAGACGCTTCACCACCAAGACTTCCTGTGAGCTCACTACCGACCCCCAGTCTATCTGGGGGAACCTAGTGGCGCAGTGGTTAAGCACTTGGCTGTTAACGGAAAGGTGAGACGTTTGAACCCACCAGAACTTCTTGGGAGCAAGATGTGGTGTCTGGAGACCCTGGGGCACTTCTACTCTGCCCTCTTTTTTCTTGTTCAATGCTAGTGACTCGGTTCCAACTCAAAACGACCCTGTATAGGGTTTCCAAGGAGCGGTTGGTGGGTTTGAACCACCAAACTTTTAGTAGTTGTTAAGTGCCTTTGAGTTGGTTCCAATTCACAACGACCTTGTATAGGGTTTCCAAGGAGCGGCTGGTGGGTTTGAACCGCCAACACTGAGGTTCAAACCCACCTTGCAGTCTAGCACTTATCCTTTGACTCTGCTCGGTCCTGATGTTGTTGTTGTGAAGTGCCATCAAGTCGGTTCCGACTCATCATGACCCTGTATAGGGTTTCGGAGGAGCGGCTGGTAGGTTTGAACTGCCGACCATGCAGTTCACAGTCCAGTCCTGACCCTACAGCACCATACCAGGAGTTCCCATTCTGTCCTAGGGATCCCTGTAAGTCACAATCAACACAACAACAATGAATTTGGCTTTTTGGTATTCCCATTAAGGAGCCCTGCTGGGACATGGTTAAGCACTTGGTCGCTAATCAAAAGATTGGCGGTTCGAGCCCATCAGCTGCTATGCAGGAGAAAGATGACTGTCTTGGAAGCCCTGTGGGGCAGTTCTACTCTGTCCTCCAGGGTCGCTGGTTCGGAATCAGACTCGACGGCAAGAAGCAGGTTGGGTATCCTCTATTTGCTGCTGGTCCCTGCGGGTCCAGAAGGGTGACCTATCACCCTGTCCCTTCTCTGCCAGGATGATGCAAGCTGGGAGGGCTAGGAGCCATCGGAGAACGTTTGTTGGGGTTTCAATTGTGTGGACACCTCTAGTCTCGGCATCTCACTGAGACCCCAGGTGACAGCCACACATCTGCCAAGGGGATATGTGCACATCTGCCACACACACATCTGCCAAGACACCCTCAGGTGGGGGACAGCCAGCCCTGCAGCCTCTTAGCAGGGGTTTCCCCATGTCCTTTTCTCTTAATTAGTTATGGGGCCCCTGGCCTCCCCTCCCCACACACCCAGTCCTCCCACTCCCCCATCAACTGAAGAAGAACCCCACTCAGACAGCCGGCTGCATTTGGGAGTGCCCACAGGTGGCTGGGTGTTGGGGATCTATCACCAGCAAGCACCCCTGGCCCTGAGACATGGGCAAGGAGGGGGGCCAAGGTACTTCTGGGTGGGGTTTTGACTCTCTTTTTTGGAGCCAAGGAGGCAGCTGGATTTCTGCCCATATGGCTACTGGTTCATCTCTGGGCACGCAAGGACAGGCCTCCCCCCCTGCTTCTGCCTTTCCTAGACTGGGCGCCCAGTCCATCCCACACACCTGTGTTCCCGGAGCTGACCATTCAGAGCTCAATGTGAAGCTATGTCCACAGCCAGAACAGAGGGGCCTGGGCACTTCAGGGCCTGTTCCCACTCAACACTGGCTGCCCTCATCACTTCAGCCGCTCTTGGGGAGGATCTGAACCCAGTTCCTCTGATACTGAAGCTGACGTCTTCACTGGTCATTGACTGGCCAGCTCCAGACGAAGGGTCTCAGCTTCTGCAGAGCTGCTGGAGAGACCATGGGCAACACCTGTCAGCCAGATCTGTCGGTGACAGAAGGGCCAGGCCAGCTCCAAAGTCCTGGCTGGTCCTTCCCTCCACTCCAGGAGCGAGCCGGCATGCATGAGCTGGTTAAACCCTCTTGAGTTGACTCCTTCCCAGCTAGGAGCTCCTCCTGGAGTCCGCATAGTCCCAGGTCCACTGCCCAGTGGGCCAAAGGCCTCTCCCATGGCTTTCCTGAGTATCAGGACCGGTCAGGATGGGGCATCCATGGGAATGGCTGTTTCTAGAACTGTCATGTACTTACCTGGCTAAGCATCCAACACAGACAGGACCTCCAGCTGGTTCCGCCCGCCCTGCATTAGAGCCTGATGGCCCTGTGGCAGAAGCCAACCTCCCTGTAGCGCCTTCTGAGGAGCAGAGAGGCCAGCCCACTGAAAGGGGTCACCTCTCCCTGGGCACCCATGACTCTGCAAGAAGGGGTCCTCACCCTAACTCATGTTGAGGACATGAAGCTGGCCCACCCACTCCCTCCCCCACCAACCCTGTGTCCAGTTCTCCCACACGTGGGCAGTTACACACAGGGCTCGTCACTGGTGTACTGACAGGAGAGGGGGTGGGTGGGCATGCTGCCTGTGACGGTCTTGATCAAGGGGTCCTGAAGGCCCGCTCAGCACTGCGTGGGGTGGACCAACCTCAGGCTGGCTGTCTTCCAGGAGGCCACCACGGAGCGGGTGCATGGCATTGACCCTCGCGACACCTGGATGCTTTTCGTCCAACAAAGTGACAAAGGCACCAATGGCAAGAAGAGGAACAGAGGCCAGGCCAAGAGGCTGAGGGTGAGCGAGGTCCCAAGGCTGAATGAGCACGAGTGTGAGGGAGTCTATGTGGATGTGTGAGGATGTGTGTGAGTGTGCACGTGTGGGAGTGACTGCAAGCCTGAGTGTTCAAGTGTGAGGGAGTGGATGTATACAGATATGCATACATGTATGGGAGTATTGTGCACGTATGTGAGTGTAAAGGTGGGAAAGTGTGTGAGTGCAAAAGTGGGGGTGAATGTGCACCTGTAAAAGTGTAATTGTGTGTGCGCATGTGTGGGTGTGCTGTGCACACGGGTTGGTGGGTGTGCATGCTTGAGTGTGAAGCAGTGTGTGAGGGAAGGAGTGTGCATGAGTGTACAAGTGTACGGGTGAGAAAGTGTTCCCAAGTGTACAAGTGTGTGTTCCTGTGTGTGCACATTTGTGTGAGGATGTGTCATGAGTGTGTAAATGTGTGAGGGAGTGAGCAGGTGTGTGAGCATAAGAAGGTGTGTAAGTGTGTAAGCACAAGTGCATGTTTGAGTGGGTGAGTGAGCCTTGTGATTGTGAGCTGTGCATGTGTGAGTGTGCATGTGACAGGGGCCCCCACCCAGCTCCCTCCAGTCAGCACAGACCCTCTGTCTTGGCCACGTGTCAGGAAACGTGGAGAAGTGCTAAACCAGAGTCCCAGTGACCCCCGAGTTTGGGTCTGTTCCCAAACACTTACACCACCCCTAGAAGGGCACCCAGGCATCTGGGGTAACACTTGGGGGGTGCCCCTTCCAACAACTGCTGTCCCCACTCTTGCTAACATTCTGGCCCCTCGTCCATGAGCTTGGCCAGGGCAAGGACCTGGTACCTGGTCCCTCCTCAGGCGTCCTCACTATGGTGGTTCCCTTTCAGCTCGGCCTGCCAGGACCCCCTGGACCCCCTGGACCTCAAGGCCCCCCAGGCCCCATCATACCCCCCGAGGTGCTGCTGAGGGAGTTCCAGCTGCTGCTGAAAGGTAGGGGTGTGTACCCCTGGGAGGCACCTACAGAACCAATAATGGGACTGGACCTCAGCACAGAAGGACATCTGCTATGCACCCAGTCAGTGTATGTGTGGGGGGGCACGCCTAGAGGGGCTTGCCCTGACCCACCCATGTCTATCCTGGGTTAGAGGGGTGGGAAGAGTGTGGAAGGTGGACTAGGTGCTTGGGGGCCAACACACACCAACCCCACTGGAGGTCAGCTGAGCTAAGACTGACACCCCAATCCTCTGTGTTCCCAGGCAGCTGGCAGGGAGGGGCTGGACTTCACAAGCTCACCTGCTGCCCACTTTTCCCAGTTGGAGAGTCCTCTGACCGCAGAGCCCAAGTGTCCCCCTAGACAGACCTGGTCCTTAGCCCCAAGGAATTACCGAGAAGCTGCCTGCTGGGTGGAGAGTGGATGGGACACAGGGCATTGCCCAGCCTGATATTCAGGATCACCACCTGGACAGGGACGGGCATCTGCTTAGATCAGTAAAGAGAGTGCCCAGCTGAGCCAAGCAGCCAGGGCTGAGGCTGTCCCTGGCCTCTGCCTCGGTGGGCTGGGTGAACCCACTGGCCCTGGTGTGTCCAGCTGGTGCTATTCAGTAGAGTTGATTTTATTATGAAGAGTCAACCTGTTGTTAGTGCTATCGAGTTGGTTCTGACTCTGTGTAGGATTCCCGAGGAGCGGCTGGTGGATTTGAACCGCCAACTTTGAGATTAGCAGTCCAGTCCTAATCCTACAATGCCACATCAGGACTCAATTCATTCTACTGTTCCTTTAAATGAGGAGCCCTGGTGGCACCGAGGGTTAGCCCCTGTTGGGTTGCCAACCAAAAGACCAGTGGTTGTAACCCATCAGCAGTTCTGTGGGAGAAAGTTCTGTGGCATTCTGCTTCCTAAAGACTTATACCCTTGGAAACCATTTTATCACCATGAGTTGAAATTACTGGGAGGCAGTAGGTGGGGTCTTTTAAGGACACCAGCTTCACTGCCTGACAGCCTCCCTGCCCCTCCCCCCCACACACACACACCCGCATTATCCACACTATTGCTATTTCCTTACACTCAGCTCCTTTCCAGAAGACCTGGGCCTGGCTTGTGCCATTGCATTTGCTGATATAATAAGTACCCAGAGCCTCCGGGTAGCCAAAGCGAGAAGGGAAACAGGACCAGTGAGCAGTTTCGTGAGGTGCTCCTGGGCGCGTGTGTGCCTTAGATGTGGCTTGGGTTGCTGTTAGGGGCACTCCCAGGCACACAGGTGGGGCGGGTAAGGGTTCCTGGTGGCCCGGAGTCTCTGGCGCGCCCACGGATGGCTCTGTGTAGGCGCGGTGCGGCAGCGGGAGCGTGCGGAACTGGAGCCCTGCACGCGCGACCCCGACTCCACCACCACGGCCGCGGAGGAGCTGGAGGAAAGAGAGGCGGCCGGCCTCCTGGCCCTGCTGACCGCACCCCTGGGCCCCGGGCCACCGCGCGTCGCCGCCGCCTTCCACGGACGCCTGCGCAGGGATACGCAGCTGGAGCGGCGCTCGCTGCATGAGCTCAGCCTCTACCACGTGGTGAGTCGGCGGGGCTGGGGATAGAGAGGTACTTTGAGGGACATGGAGGTCCCAGATGACCACCCGCCCGCCCCTTGTCCCCGCAGCCCGACGCCGAGGGCGCCTTCCGCCGCGGCCCCGGCCTGAACCTGACCAGCGGTCAGTACACAGCGCCAGTATCCGGTTTCTACGCCTTCGCCGCCGCGCTGCACCTTGGTGAGGCCCGCGCGGGGAGGGGCCACGCAGCCAGACCCCGCCTATCAGGGACTCTCCTCGCCCGCCCGCCCCACCCTCGGGCCCCGCCCCCGTTGGGCCCCTACCTACCTCACCCATTCCTGGAGCCACGCCCTGGTGACCCGCCCCCTTCTCCATGTGACCCCGCCCCCGGCCCCCCACAGCCATTCCAGAGCCACCGAGGCGGGGCCCACCACGCGCCCGGGATCACCTGCGCTTGCTCATCTGCATCCAGTCCCGGTGCCAGCACAACGTGTGAGTAGGGGGTTCCCGCGCACCCCACCCTAGTGACCTGCAGACTAGTTCTCCAGTTAAAGGGACCTCCGACTCCATTCTCCCCCATCTCAGCCGCCCTGGTGCCCCGTGTGCCCCACAGCTCTCTCCGAGTCTGTCCACTGCAGCTTTCTGTAAGAGGCCAGGGAATATCAGGTATGCGCCTGAGACTTGTTCCCATTTCTGGGGACCTGGGAGTCCTGGCCTTCCCCTGCGGGTGCGAGTCCCCATTGCTCCCGCACCCCACCTGTAGACTTCACATATACACTTTCTGACTCCACCTGTCTGTTCACAGGTGCTCACCCCATTGGGCCATCACGACCATGTCCCCAGTACCTAGAGCAGCGCAAAGGCGTGGGGGGGTGGGGGTGCGTCCTCAGAGCCTGGACTTCCTCCTCCTCACGGGCACCTGTACAGCTACCAGGCTGGGGTTGTTGGGAGCACATGGTGGTGAGGCTGGAGGTGAGGGTTCTGGGGGGCACAGGTGTGGCCCTGAGCAGGCTGACCCTGGTTTCTCTGTGGCTGCAGCTCCCTGGAGACCATCACAGGGCTGGAATGCCGGAGTGACCGCTTCACCATCACCCTCAATGGTGTCCTCTATCTGCAGGTGCGTGACACGTAGCTGGAGGGGTGCTGAGGTGCTCAAACCACAAGCTCATCCCCCACAACCACCTGCCTTGGCCAGCCCTCTGCCCCACAGTCCTTGCCCAGTGCCACCCTGGGGGACGAAGGAAGACCAGTAGCCCTAGGGAGCAGAGACAGCAGGGGATGGGGAGGCAGGCATTCCCACAGAGCCCTGAGTGGGGATTTTGGCAAGTGGTAAGAAGCTGACATCCAGGTGGGATTCCTAGGCTAGATGGAGGACACGTGCGGATGGCTGAGTTACAGCCCCTGAAGGAGCTGGGGAGATCCTGGTCCTCGTCCCCTTCTACAAGTGAACAGACCACGCAGTCCGCTCTGATTCTGAGGGTGCTCAGAGGACTGTGACCTTGACTTCCAGACTGTAGCAATCTGGCTGCCACAGACTTGGAAGCTGAGGCTTGGGTGACCCACCACGCATGGAGGCCAGGCCCCTGCAGGGCCACAGCTGAGCTCAGCTGGAAGGCCTTTGTGGCCCAGTGTGTGGCTGGAGCTCTAAGCAGAGGGACAGGCAGAGAAGGGTCTAGAGTGGTGGTCCTACCTCCTGGAGTGGGACTGAGCAGGCGGGTCAGGGGAAGAGTGGCCAGTCTGAGGGCTCTTTATCCCTCATCCCCCTGCAGGCTGGGCAGTATGCCTCTGTCTTTGTGGACAACTCCAGCGGCTCCTCCCTCACCGTGCGCAGCGGTTCCCGCTTCAGCGCGATCCTCCTCGGCGTGTGACAGGTGCCACTCCACTGGACAGCCTCGTGGGGTCCAGTTCACCATTAGGGCAGTGTTGGAGTGGGGGTGGCCACAGACTGGGAAGCCCAGTCACCCCAGTGCAGCCTGAGGGGACATGGAGCTCGGAGGCCTGCAGAGTGCCACTTCAGAGAGTCTTACAGACACCACCTAGGCTGTTATTCCAGAAGCTTCTGCGTGGTTCAGTGTGTCCACAGAGCCTTCCCACATTCTAGGGCCCCAGGCTGCAGTCCATCTGTGGAGTGAGATGTTGGCCTACTCAGTGTCCCAGGGGACTGTGCAAGCCTTTCCCACCTTTGTTGCCACCTACGCCTCCACAGGGTCCTGACACAGGGGTTGCAGGGTCAGAGGGCACCAGGTCTGGTCTGTGTACTGCGGGGGGGGGCGGTGTGCAGGTCACTCTAATGCGGTACCTGCAGATGGCCCACACTGTCCCTCGCCCCTTCTAAAGGGGTCCAGCAGAGACCAGGGAACCTCCAGACGGGGTGTAGCCTGGCGTAGCAGTGACTCCCACTTGGCAGGCAAGGGCACATCGAGTCCCAAGTCCATTTGCTCTTGGACAGTGGTGGGGGCCAGCCTGGGCTGGGTGTTGAATGAGGTCCCCAGGCTGTCCTGTGGCCACACTGACTGGCAGTGGTCAGTCACCTGAACCTTCCAACTGGCTGAGAGTGACCAGGTCCCTGACAATAGGCCTGAAGGATGTCCCAGAGCCCCAAGCACCCATCTTCACATCCCCAAAACACACCCACACTGGCCACTGGGTTCCCAGTAAGTCCGGCCCCGCCCTACCAGGAAGCTGCTGGCCAAGGGCCAGGCCTGCCCTGCCCTGCCCTGACTGGTTGATAAGGACACAGGCCATCCCTTTCCGGATTTTCAGTTGTATCCGGGAGACACAGATATTCTAGAGAAGTTATCTTTTTGCCCTTGAGAAACTCTACATTATCTATTTTATGTTCTTCACACATGCTACATAGCAGTTTATTAAAATATTTATTGTCTAATGCAGCCTGGTGGGATGTAGTTCTGTATGGTTTGGGGGTGGTTCAAGGATGTAAGGGCTATGGTTCATAATCACACAATGGGCAGACAGACAGGTAGGCTTTCAAATAGTCTTCATGAGGCGGGAAAACATCTAAGGGTCGAAATGAAGAGAAGACAAGGTGCCCTTCTCTGAGCATTGAAGGGTTCCGAGGACCCTGAGGATGTGGGGCGGAGGGCATGAGCTGGCGAGCGGCCTGCACACTGACATGTTGGCTACAGAAGGTACTAAACCATTCCATGCCCTATTCTGAGGTCCTTTAGTGACAACAAATAAGGTATCGCCATCCTCGTGCACATGGTCACACACAACACCTCTTGACCGTTCGTTTCCAACCTCCACACACCATTCGTCCCAGAGTAACGTGGGGTTTGCTCTGAGGGACTTGTGGCATGGACTCAAACCCCACTGACTGAATTGATGGGTGGTAAGACTGGCTGGTCGGGGGGCCGGGGTACATTACAAAGTAGCTTCTTACACATTCTAGAATCCCCCATCCTGAGATCCAACAGCAGCTCTTTAAGAAAGTGTTGAGCTTCCTGTGGTGGCGGCTACCACAGTAAGTGCAGTGGCTGGAGCAGAGAGCAAACATGGCGGTGGCTTCGGGAGTGGTCCATGGCATCCAGCCCCACGTGAAAGATGCCAACTTGTGCTAATACAACCATATTAAGTAACTGAGAACTGAAGTATCAATGCAACATGAACATTAACAGTGACAGACAAACGCAGACGCTTGGGAATCAAATACTAGGTGAAACACTTTTAAAAGTTTTATTAAAAAAACGAATTTACGGAGAACAAACAAGATGGAGGAAAGGGTGGAAGGGCAGCGAGGAGCTCCGTCAGCAACAACACAGAATATTGGACCAAGCAGGCTCAGGGGATGGTGCCAGAACTCTGAACCACATATAAAGGAATATTTAGAAGGTTGGAAGGCATACAGCTAAGGGAATTTGTAGCAGAAGTAAGAAATCCAGTGCTTTCTAATTCAAGACAATCCGCTGCTCCCAGAGCCACCATCTTGGGCGAGACCAACAGGAGGAAGGATCAGAGCAGCCAGACACCTGACAGAACCGTGGAGATAAAGATGTGGACATTCTTTTTTTTTTAAATATCTGTATAGGGCTCTCACAAAAACCGCCCCCCTATACACAGGACAAGAGAGGGCGCCCCAGAAAAAAAACACACCACACCACACCCCACAGAGATACGACACACACACACACAGATCAAAAAATAAAGTGAGTTTCCACTTAAAGCCAAATGGCATTGCAAAACGTCCACAGCCAGCCCAGAACTGTTTATAACTAGGAAAAAGGCCTGAACGGGGATTGTGGAGCGGGACAGACAGACTAAAAAGAAAATAGGCCGAAAATTAAATCCTGGGTTATGTCACAACGACCAACAGTGGCATCTTGAAATTTCTTAGGAAGAAGAGTGAAAAGGGAAGCCCATCTCCTGATCACATCTACCTGGAAGCAATAAAAAAAATACCAAAATACACAGCCATCTAAGTATAAAGGTCACAGATAACTCCTGAATAATATGCCCCCCAAAATAGAAACAGATGACCATATCAGCACAGGTCCAGAAATGAGATATGATAAAGTCACTGAGGCAAATGAGCTGGAAGTAGACCTACACTCCATACTGGAAGATGGGCAGGCTTTGAAAATGCCCGAGAAGGAATTCAGAAATATGATTATAAAATGTATCAAAACACTATATAATGGAGTTGAGAAAAATGAAGTCAGGAAAGCACTATAGGAACAGTCAAATAAGATACAGCATTGGAAACAATTCAAAACCTACAGAAAGAAGTCCAACAGTTAATAATAGATGATCAGAAATGGACAATACACTGAAAAGGGCAAAGGATTAGAATTGTAGAGATAGAAGCTAGAACTGGTGAGCTGGGAGATAAATCTCTCAATACTACTAAGATAGAAGAGCAAATACTAAAAAGGATAAAAAAAAAAAAATCTGAAGAAGGCCTAAGATTCATGTTGGACAACATGAAGAGGAATAATTTAAGAATTATCGGCATTCTGGAACATGAGGAATCACACAAGTCCACAAGAGGAGATAGTTGAAGAGCTTCTGGAAGAAAATTTTCCTAACATCATGAAAAGTGAAAAGATAAGCATTCAAGAAGCTCAACGAACCCCAGGAAGGATAGACCCTAAAAGACAATCACCAAACCATATAATAATCAAGCTCTCCAAAATCAAAGATAAGGAGAGAATCCTGAAAGCACCCAGGGAAAAGAGAAGTGTAACATACAAAGGCAAACAAATCAGATTAAGATCGGATCTCGCAACAGAAACCATGCAATGGGGAGACATATATATAAAACCCTGGAAGAAAAAAACTGCCAACCAAGAATCCTCTACCCAGCAAAGCTGTCAATCAAATACGACAGTGAATCAAAACATTCCAGGATAAACAGAAGCTAAGGGATTTTGGCAAAGCCAACCCTGCTATGAAAAACATCCCAAAGGAAGTTCTGTGGACTGAGAACCAACAAGAACAGACAACAACCAGAGAAAAACACATATAGAAAAACAAAAACCAAAACAAAACACAAAAAGAAAAGACAAAAAAACAAAAAAAAATAAAAAACAGGATCTGGGAGGTCAGTCTATGATCAAAACAATGTGAAAGATGGTAAACACTGAGGAACAGAGATCCAGGTGGTGAGGTCAGGTAGATTACAGGATAAAATAGACTGTCTTAAATGGAGGGAAGAATAATGGAATACAAGGTAACCACAACAGTGGGGTTGGGGCAGAGGGTTTAGTTGGGGTGTTGGGGAGGGCAATACAAGAAGCAGGACAAGGCGGAAGAACAAGATAGATTGGGGAACACTAAGAAAGGTTTGCAAGGCCTACGTGGGACAGAGGTAAATAGGCATGCTCAACCTTGGAACAACAGGGCTCTATGTATAGCCTGAAGAGGGGAAATACTACTAAAATTCTTGACTATCTTAGGAATATTGGTTTACCTTGCCTCCTATTGTAAAATAGTCACTTGAGTGGGATAGAAAGGAATGTTGGGCAACATGGTTACAGAAAACTTATAAGCCTGTCTTCAGCCTATAACTGTTTAGAATACCTAAAAGGGGTTCTAGAGCTTGCCCAGGGAAATAGGCCTCTTGCAAAGCCTTTGCAAAGTATAGGACCTTAGGTGAAATCTTGAGTCCCATCCAGAACCTTCTGAGGTAGGACATTCCCACTAGCATGGACAAGCAGACTAGCCTAGAACAGCTACAGTGACAGAAGATACATCTTCAAAGAAAGATCATCAGGAAAAACCCAAAACAAAATGGCAGCATGACTGGTTACTACAAGAGTAATCAAGCTGTTCGCCAGGAAGCCTTCAAGGTAAGCAATCAAGTTCTTTCAGGACAAACTCTTCCTAAGACTGAAACTCAAAGGAAACACACAAATAAGCATATAAGCTTGATGGCAACCATATTGGTCTACTGGTGAGTGGAAGAGGGGGAAAGGCAGCAATGAAGAAATGGGCTGAGTTCACCCACAGTCCATTGATGCCCATTGACCTGGAGAGAGAGAAGAGGAAGGGCTGGTTGGTCCAAAGTGTGGTGAGACGTGAGGACACTTGAGTCCATGGACAAGGACATAGCCACAGAGTGCTAGAGCTGAGAGTGAAGCATCCAACTGATAGGAAGTGAGGGGAGATGCACAAGAACACCCAAACTTGCAGACAGTACTCATTTGACCTAGCCTCGGTGGCCTGATAATCAGAACTCAACTAGAGGAAGATGACACACACAATTTTTTTTTTTTTATAATGTGGGTAGATTGCTACAATTTGATGAACTTGACCTATACTCATGGGGGTAGTAACTCTAAATATCAACAGAGGAAGGAGTCTTCACATCAAGTATCAATGTATACAGGGTAGATAGGGATGGGCAACT